AATTAGCAGAATTGGGAAAGAAAGGAGCTTTCAGCAATAATAAAACCTTTAAAGAATTAGCAGAATTAATGGTACAAATTAAAATAAAAGAAGAAGAAGGCAAGTCAAAAACAAGTTTAAGGTATTCTGAGCATTTAAAACAATTTTTTTGTTTATTGTCCAATAGTTCAAGAGAATACGAGATTTTCAAACAGTCTTTTGTAGGAATGAACTTGAGATCATTAAGGTGATTTTTTTTTTTCCATATTACAATGTTTAGTCATATTAATTAATACTACATTTTTGTTTTTTAGATATATTCGTAGTAAAGAAACAAATATTATAAGAGATCCTTACTTAGTTTTAGAAAATATAAAAAAATTTAAACAAATTGTAAATGATTTAAACTGGAAAGGTCCAATTGTCTGCATGACTGATTGCACAAAAGTTAGGCCAAAGCTGATTTATTGTGAAGAATTTGGCTGTATTGTTGGTTCTATTCTTTCTCACAATGAGACAATTGTTAATTCTTATGATGACATTACTTCTACAATTAAAAAAATTAAAGATGGACAAAAAATTGCTACACAAGTTCGAGTAATTGTGCTCAAGGTAATTAAAGGTTTTGTTTATTTAAAAAAATGAAAATTTAATCAATTAACCAATCAATTTATAATTGATCAACTTCTAGATACCAATTGGAAAAATCCCCCCTTTTGCAATTGCTCTATTACCAACAAAAGGTGAAATGAAAGCAGAAGATATATACAATTTGTTATTTCAAGTCATTCAAATGTCTAGTAATCTTGGTTTACATATCCAAAGTTTTGGAGCTGATGGAGCACCATGTGAAATGAGTGCACAAAATTTAATTAAAGAAGGAAAATATACAAACACCTTTTTAACCTTTGATGATAATTTATATAATATACATTTAAAGGTTTGTTTTATTTTCTTATGAATTTTTCTATTAATTGCTAATATGAAATTAATTCTAAATTTTAAATCCAAGAATCCAATTTATGAAGGCAATCCTATAATCATAGTTCAAGATCCTAAACATGGGAAAAAGACTGCAAGAAACCAAATTTTTTCAGGAGCAAGGTTGCTTGTTCTTGGAAATTGTCCTGTTCTCTATAAACAACTTTTATTTCTTGCAAAAGAGAATGGACATTCTATTTATATTCATGATGTTGTAAATACAGACAAACAAGATGATGGAGCAGCATTTCGAACTTTTCATTCTGAATTGCTTAAGCAAATCAGTAGACACGAAATATTTAATTCAGAATTTGAAGCAATTTTTGTTTACTTATTTATCTTAGGTTGGTTTTATATATTTATATACCTCATTAAATAACAGCTAAATAAAATATCTATTTATTTATTTTTAGGAGAGCTATTTGATTC